TAGTTATTAATGAATGACTGCATCGTTCGAAATAGCGAACCAGAGAACGTTCTTGAACATACAAATGCAGTGTGTCGTACGCGAGAATCCGTTTCTCTTCGAGCCAAACTGGTCGCGTTCGTGCGTTCTATAATGGCGAATCGAGTCAGTAGGGTCACTCTAACGGGCTAACGGGTCATATAATGGCGTGTACCGTGCATTACGCATACGGTGACGCAATCGTTTGACCGACAACCAGAGTATCAGTCGTTCATGGTAGGCGAAAGTTCGAATAATTACTAATTACGTTACTAATTACGATTGCATCTCGAGAAAAGTAACTCGAGTTTTCCTTACGAAGAACGAAACACAAGTGTATACTTTAAAATAAAACTGTTTCCTCGCTGGGACTTTCGGTAAAGCGTCGAGCTGATTCGCCGGAACCACGCGTTCTCCGTTATCGTCGATTACAATGAACCATCGCATCGGGTAGACGTACATAACTGTTTTATTAAACCGTAAGCTGCGTCTTCGGTCAGCTGCTTACGTAATCGAAAACACAGAGAGTGAAAATCAAGCGTAATCCTACTTTCGTCGGCGAGAAGAACCATCCGTCCGCCTCCCTCCCGACGCATTTGCCATGGCCGTGGATCACACTTTAACTCTTCTTCTTCGATACGAGGTCATAGTCATCTATGAATACGAATCCAACGAAACCGACGGAAAATGACCAACCACGATTCCCAATTTCTAATTAATTTCCCTGAGAAATAATAACTCTCGGATGAATTCATCAAAAATAAAAAAAAAATAAAACACCAACTCGATAATGTTTTTAATCATCTTCCTCGTTCGATACTTTCATCGTTCGACCGTTCACTTTCTCACTTTCGCGATCGTCGCGATGATGGCCGGGATTCAAAGTTGAAACAGCGAGGATAACGTTAGCGCGAACGGTACCCAGCTGAACTGTTATCCTTCGCGAGGAACTGATGAGAAGACCCACTGGCCCAGCGATCAACTCCGCTCTCGCAACGAAAGCTCGCCAACTGACCGAGAAACTTTTGCATTCCCGATCGATCGTGTTATTACCAATCGGAGCATAAACCATTAACTCGTTGCCTCGGTAACCGCGTTTAGAGAATTCTTTGCGCTTGGAAACAAGACGGTTCCCGCGATACCGCGTGATCGGATCTTCAGCCGATCCGACCGCGTCGATACCAACGATCATCCCGATTCTTTGTGAATAGAATGTTATAGATGAAAAATCGAGTTTAAAGAACTTAACGAGCATGAAGCTCGATTAAAATTCCACGATGTAATTAGAAGCTTTCATTAACGCGGTATTCGACACGTGTACAAACAGCGAACAATTACCGTTCGAATCATGCTATATAGATCTAATATTGTCCCGTTTAGTATTCTAATCGAAATGGTAATGAAAAGCTATTTACGAAACATCATTTGCATTTTAAAACGCATTCAAATCCTTTTTTTAACAGCGTCGATCAGCAGATCCATAAATCTTCGAGATAACTCGTGTTCAAAATTACCCACGCTATTTTTAAACTAATTGCATAATGAGAATGAAACTTTGATAAGTTGATCCTTGAATGTCGGGGAAGACCTCGGGAGGATCGAGGTGGCCATTTTCACGGACCACCTTGTAGAAGAGGAAGGCAAACAGGGCTAAAAATCATTCGAAGAAGAAGAATTGCAAATTCGTCGAAGTAGAATCCATAGGTTGTGATTCGCGTTCGTTAGCACAGGGATGCAAAAGGGATAACAGGGTCCTCCGGCAAAGCCAACAGAGGAGAACAACGACGATGGCGTAGCCGAGAATGCCGGTGCGCTGGAACGAACGAAGAAACGGACGGGAGTGGGACAAAAGTAAAAAAAAAAAAAAAAAAGAAAAAGAAAGAAGGAGAGAGGAAGGAGAGAAGGAAAAGAGAAAGACGGTGAATAGTAACGCGGAATGCCCGGACAACGCTCCCGTGGAGCTGGGGCCAACTAACGGTCCAAACCACCACCACCGTTGCTACCATCAACTTCGATGGTCCTCATCATCCTCCACCTCCTTCGCCTCCTCTCTTCCACTTCTTTCCACCTTGTTTTTCTCTACTCTTCGTTGTGACGTTTTCACAACGTTGCACACACAACGAACGTTTGCGAATCCTTCTTTCAAATCCCTGATCGATCGATCGACGTTTTGATTACGTTTGAGAAATGTGGACGATGGACGTTGATTTTCTCTACTGATTGTTAAATATCATTATTTTGTTTTTCAGTTTCTACCCATTGCTACAGCTAAGGTACCAGGTACAAAATATAGATGTAAACGGATAGCTATGGGAACTGGTACGAGGCTAATAGCTAAAATTGAGTTATTAATGTAATATATCGTTACGGCCACTTCGGTTGTCGTTATTCATCTTCCTTGATTCGATCCTTCGTTTACATTTAACGATTGCTCTGTCTTGCAAATTTTCAAGCATTTCAATCATTTCGCGGAACATCGAAATCGTTTTCAGAAATTTAACCAAAAGGAAAAATTCTTGGAATTCTCGAAGCGTCCGAGGAACTTAATAGTCTTAATAAACTTGGAAGACTCGGAACATCGTTACTCCTGTTACGTGTAAAAATATTCGCCGTATAGATTGATGGATGTAATTAATTTGATCAGATACGTTAGATTGTTGCAATCATGAGAACGTATCAAAGTTTATTATTCGTGGATATTGAATAGGATCCACGAGGAGGTGGCTAGGTATATGTCTCAGGTTTGTTGGATATCGCATGGGTCTTGATCCTTCGGAAATCCTCGCGGAAGAATTCTCATGCGTACGATTGATCGTGAGCAGGAGGAAAAAGGAAGGATAAGACAGAAATTAATAACGGTACTTATTTCTTTTCAATGGCAATCGTGTACACCGAAGCTTAACATAATGTAAGATGCATTTCAACGCATCCGGGTAAGCCGCGGCGAGGATGCGCCTTCGACCAACAACTGAATAGGAATGTGGTAATGGGTAATGATGAGCTTGTAATCGTTATTAATCATCGTCATTACCATTGGTATCAAGTATCGTTCGAAATTTTAGATTTCTTTCGAGATGAAGTTTGAATTAATGAAAACTATCCATACAAGATTGTACGACGAGAAATAAGAAATTTTTAATAATTGTGAGAAAGAGCAACGATACATCCTGTGAGCATAGAATCCAAGGTATACAAGACCCAAATAAAGGAGATCGGAGATTGGGAAAATTCTCGAGTTACATTTTCCGCTCCTCCCACTATACCTTCTGTACTATTATCAATGGTAGCTGGTCTAGGTGGCAAAAAAACGCATGGTTTTTTGTTCAGGCCGCAAAAGAACCGCAAGACAGTGTTCTAGGAGGAGACCGGTGAGAATCCATGGGTCTTCCTGTGGGGCATCCCATCAGACTTCTTTTCTACCGTCTCCTTTCGCTTCTTTTCCTTGCTCTTTCTCCTCTACCTTGCATCTGACAAGTTGCATATACCAAATGTACCCTATCACTCGGTTGCTACGAAGTTGGATATACCGTCAGGTTTAACCTCGCCAACGAATCGCTTGTCAGAGTCTTATTTATTTGTTGCCGTTTCTTATTAACCCTAAGGCCGAGGCCACGATATGCGTTTTCGCTGTTGCGATTATGACGGATGCAGTCATCCGATTTGTGACATTGCATAGGTTCAAATTTGCATCACGGAAGATGATTGGGGGCCTAGCCCGGCAGATAAAATATGAAAAATCTCCCTGGCACTTTTTTAGATTAGAAAGACTTTAATATCCGAGTAAGGCGCCCTTAAGTGCACGTTATTTCGTGCAAGGACACGCCCGTTACACTTTTCCATCACGGTTCATCTCGCACAAAGAGAAGTCCAAAGACTATGGTGCAATGGAAAGGGAGGAGAAAGAGGGCTGTCTGCCTGTAAATTACAGGCATCCTTGAAAACTTCCAAAGAGATTATCTACGCTAAAGAATTCATCGTTGCTCGCACCGTAGGTGGTGCACCAATTTATTCTACCTGCACAATGAATCCGTGGCCAGCTATTGATTATCTAACTCTCACGGTAAGCGCGTACAAAGTATTTGTGCATGCCAAATTACGAGAAGAAAATATCAGATTACTTTGCGGCAGCAGCTGATATCTCAAAAAACGAATCGATTTGTTTTATGGAAAACTCTAAACCGGTGAGAAAGATAGATGTAAAACGATTAAAAGTTACTGATTCATCTTTTTTTTTTTTAACGTATTCCGTTAAGGTACTTCATTATCAATCACACGTTATCTACTTTAACAGATTTTTTAACGATTCCTCTTTAATTCGCACGCAGAAAAATGCATCATAATTTATGATTACGATCGGACGAATTTATAAACTTCATAATAGAAACCGTAATTGATTGCTGGATTCGTTTACATTCTATGCTAATTGTATGTGCATTATATTTCCAACGAACTTCATTAATCCAGCCTGAACGCGTCTGTTTTCCCAGAACACGCTTATAGTATTAAAAAATTCGAATCCATCTTGGGAACTCGGTGTAAAAAAATTGTTAATTACATTATTCGTTATCAGTAGTTATCTGCTCTAAAATATAAAATGATAACCGTAAGGATCCTATCTATATTCATGCTTCCCCCCATTAATACGGTTAATTAGGCTTCAACCGTATAATGTTACGTTAAAAAAAAAAAAAAAGTAACCAGCATAAAATAATAGTTGGCCCATAAAGAACGTTTCAGCTGCATCACGAATAAAGATCGAATCCACAAAGAGATTGAGGGATGGGAAAAAATCAGATGGATTTCCAAGGTAATTCACCTTGCCAGTCTCTCGAGCATGCACGTTAACGAAAGATGCACGAGTGCAGCATTACACATTCGGTCAACGTTTCTTCCGGGAAAAGGTAGAGGAACAAAAAAATTCCTTTTTTCAGGAGCGATTTTTATTCGTGGCTGACCCGTCCTCGTGGCCCGTTTCACGATACCTTATAGCAGCTACGTGCAGATACTTTGAATTTTCGTATTACTCGGATCGGATGTCAAATCCAAACACCGATAGCTTCGAAGCTCGTTTGTAAACAAGCCCGTATTCCTCGAACAGCTAACCTGTACCGCCACGCTTCTATTACGCTTCGAATTAATTTCCAACGTAGACGCATATATGTATGTATAACGTACTTACTCTAGCAGACAAATTATGGTTAACGCGATCTTCTCATTATGATAATCACTTCCGACGCATTAGTTACACGTCGGTTCTTGAATCAACGAATGGTAAACTTGCATTCCACCGACTTGCACGAAACGTCGAACTGATATAAATCAGTTTTAACAACGATATATCGAATCTTGTCACAGCATCGAAGGTTTTGATTCGATACAAGTACTGCAGAAAAATATCGATATCTTGGCAGTAACGGATGTTGCCTTTCGAGGCTCTATACATATAAAACAATGAACTATTTATGACTGAAAATTTAACACTAGCCCTTCAAACTTTTTTATAAATATAATTACTGCAGTCTTAAAACAAATTTTAATAACGAATCCCCTTATTGTTGCTATTGCGTAGAGAATTTAGAATCCAGACAACTCAACTGTCATGGACGAACACGACAAGATTCGAATCTTGTTTGTTCCTTTTTTCACGAACAGAATCGAACGGAAATATCGTTCAAACACTATACACACCTACCTGTATCCCCGTTGAACTTCCGTACGGTCTGTTTGACACAATCCGAGATTTGCAATCCAAATTAACAAAGTATGTTAATGTCCATGCTTCGACGATACGCGTTGGACAAATTCAAAACGGAACAACGGGCGCAAACAACAAATGATAGTACGCAATGCACAAAAAATATACACACTCGATACACGAGACTTTTTTATAACTATACGACAGTATTACTTTTTTGAAACTGACACCGAAACCATTTACTTTCTATCAGATCCCTCCGTTACGATCCACGTGACGCTAAGGGCCGAATCGAACTATTCCTCGAATAGCGTCGATAACGTCGCGTCGTCACAGTGTTGTTCATTTTTTATGTAGGAATATTATTCTTATTTGGTCAACGTTGAGATGGCGCCTCGCAGTTTTATTACGGGAGATAGAACAGTTGCTGCGTATGGACCCGAGTGGGGCCCCAATCGCGTATTAATAAAAGAAAGAAAGAGATAGAATAGTTTCGGTTACAGTACCTTTTGTCTAATGACACTTTTGTTTTCCGTTCAACCATGTCCTCGTGCGATTCGTACAGTTTCAAATCTAGCGATAAGTTATCAGTTTTTGACAAAACTGACAATGCCAAGAAATCTGTGAATGTAGACCAAAAAAGCGAATTTGGTAAGTATGAAGAAACTTACAATTGGGTCGAATGCGAATCCATGCAATTCCCGGGGAAACCATATTTTTTTAACTTGAGAACACAAAATACCACGTGGATTCGACCGGTATCAAGACACGTGCAACTTCAACGTTTCAGTCGGAAATCTGTAAGTATATTGTTTATTTCAATTAATTTTTCTCTTCACTGTCCTGTCTCATTTCTTTAGCGTTATAAGTACCTATTGCATGAACCGGATCAGTCGCTAAGTGTTGCAACATTTAGAATATTTTTCCACAGAAAATCTTCGATGATAATTCGACACCTGAAAAAGAAATTCCGTTGATTTTATCGTCAGAAAGTGAAAAAGATGATTGGGAGTATATTGATAACGAAGAAAATAATCAAAGCAATAAAGAAATTTATAAAAATTCGGAAATTCTTGCACGATTATATTACGGTACGAAACTAAACCAATTTTCCAACAATGATGAAACGCTATATTTTCATGATTATTTTAATTATTTTGTCGAGAATCTAAGCAATAAAGATTCACAAGGTTCTCACGAAGTTGCGGAAGAAGAAACGGTTTGCGATAAAAGTGCACTCGAGAACTCGCCGATCATTATATCTAATTTTCTCGACGTAGAATTATCGGTGTCGGAAGATGCATTGAATATTAAAGAAAATATTGAACCATCCAACGAGGACAACATATCACTTATAGAAAAACCTATCATTTATTCAACTTCCAGTTCCGACGAAGAGAAGAAAGAGAACAACATGCGTGAAAATTATATTGTGCCCCGTTTAAAAAAAATAAAACCTCTGTGTTTGTTAAAAAAGAGTTTTAAAAACGCGAAGAGAAAAAAGGTAGCGAAGAAACGGATACCGTTACAAGAGAAAAAATTACAAGAAGTTAAAATTGTTCGTGAAATGTACGGTACGACAACTATTAGTTACGATCCGGTCGAGCCGGAACTTCCACCTGGTGTGAGAAAAAGAAATCTTAGTGACAGTAGTAGCGAAGAAGAAAATGTCAGATCTGTTTGGAATAATTCGAAACTTTTCAATATCGATTCATACGTTGCGAATTTGTCTAGCAAATCAAGTTCGAGCAGTAGTTCTAATTCCAGTTCTAGTTCCAGTTGCAGTTGTACTTGCAGTTGTTGCAGTTCATCATCCACTACAAGTAAAACTTCTAAACATTAAAGGAAAGAGTACATAACAAATATGTATAAATATTTTATACAATATTTCTTAACAAAATGATAAGTGCCTAAAGTATGAAATCTGCGTTTTTACTTTGTTTTATTTATATTTTATACTTCACCCCCGTTTACAATTGTAGAACCAAAGAGAGCCAACAGAGGGCAACAGTGCATGGCACTGGAAGGTATACATTTACCGAATTTTTCTTGAATACAAGTATAATATTTTTTTAGTTAATTATTTAATTGATAACATTAAGAATATGTTAATTATTGAATCGAAGAAAATACAGAAAAATGTCTCAATTTTATATTTGTTTCTATCACGTATGAAATAAATCAGAAGAAAATTGCATAAACAAAAGTTTTATCAGAAATAGAGATTCTCTTCATTTTCTATTGACATACTCTTTCAAGTCATCATATTAAAATTTGTGCGATTGGATAGTGTTGCTCGTAAAGGATCCTTGTTTCAAATGAATGTTGCTATAAAGATACATAACTTGACTGTTTGTTAAATAGCAGAAGAACAGGCTTCTATTTCTGTTTTTCGATTTCTTGACGGCAGCGATCCTGGCAAAAATCACGGCCGGTTTCCAGCTTGGCATATGGCAGACGTTACCTCGACGCAGCCGGTGCAGCGTACCGCGACTATTATCCGCGGTCGCCGTTGACGAATCACTGCGCTCAAAGCGTAACTGTCAAAGGATAAAGCCGGAACTACGATAAAGAACTATCGTCCCTTTACTTGGAAGCTTCTGGTCTGTGGAAAATAAAGGCCAAGTGGATTCTTACCCATTCACTTGGTATCATAACTGAAGCATTACAGTAATTAATCGTTCATTCTATTATTGTTGTTAAATTCGGTTAACACGGTCTAGCGTTTTCATTCTGTACTAAAAGTACATGCGAAATCAAGGATGTGGAACGCAGAGAGAACAAATTGTACGTACATGCGTGTATCGATAAAGTATTAGAACACAGTAAACTGTAGAATGTAATTTTATGATGCCAAAATCAAGATATATATATGTACCAGAAATATAAATAAATTTAATAAGAGTAGTTCGTTCTCCAATGCATATAGTAGCTAATGTTATAGTTATAAATAAAAGATACGTAATCGATAACAGGGTATAACCGTATTGAGAAAATTACAGGTTGAAGAAAGGCAAGGACGTGGTAACAAGATTATTTTCGAAGATTTTACATCCTCGTTATTGACGACGTAATTTTAGCATGTAACGACTTAAGGGGTCCACGGACATGGCTACATAGATAAAGATCAACGCGTTAGCCGTGAACTTTGCACCGTGAGAACAGTTTTCTTCGCTTAACAAGTCGCACCGAAGTTCCCGCGCTTCCAGACAATGAATCCTTCCACGCGGTGAACAACTGTAGTCATTACCAGGATTCATAATGGAATGAGAAGGGAAATCAGACAGTTTCACGATCTTTCATTGTACTTTCTATGGACTAAGACCTGAACGAGACACAAACAATCAAATGTGGAAAAGAAATAAGAAAAAAGGATCTTTAATTACGTATTTGAACAAGTGGAATAAATTTTAAATGTCATATGAAAATTAAAGACACTGTCTAGTTCTTAAGTCTTTGTCTGTAATGATTTATATCTTAGTGATAGAAAAAGATCAATTAATAGTAGGTTGTAGAACTGAATTTTGGGCTATCATTTGTTTGGATAATGCTAATATTATAGAAAGAATCATTTCATTTATGTATTCTTCATTCATTTATTCATTTTGACTTGGGCTTTGTCCAAGATGGCGCTTTTTTTATGTATCATGAAGTTCAGCACAAATCCTGTGTTGTGCTCACCCTGTTTCGCAGTAGTGACAACCTTATATTGGCGTGTTGTATACACGTGACGCTGAATATAACCTTAAAATAAAACAAAAGTTATGGGGCGCCATAAAAAGGTTATTATTTACTTTAATTTCAAATAGTTATTGTTTTTTTGTAATTATTAATTCAAAGAATCTTATAACACTTATGAAACAAATAAATACAATGATAATCATCAAGTATCTCTGTATAAGTTTAAACAGTTTTTGCGAGATGTTTTATGGTTATACAGAACCGTTGTTGAATTTACCTTTCTAATAATGGATTTGAAGGAATTTTCAATGCAATAAATAATCATAAATAACAATTATACAGGGCCGTTGTGTAAAAAGGAATAAACAACTTAATACAGAAGAAAATCCGAATATAGTGAATGCACCCCATTCATTTGTTATTCACCGTGGATTACCTGGAGAACATATTGCCGAACTGACTAGAGATTTTCGGAAAATCATGGAACCATTCACTGCAATTTCTTTAAAGGAAAGAAAGAAAAATACGATTAAAGATTTTGTATCCATTGCTAGCATCCTTCACGTTACACATATGTGTATGTTTACAAGAACAGAACAGGGAATGTATTTTAAACTTTGCAGGTACTAGACTTAGTCGTATTATTGATATTTTTGTTAATTATTATAAATATTATTAAATAATAAACGTATCATAGGCTACCAAGAGGACCAACACTTACTTTTAAAATACATAGCTTCTGTTTAGCAAGGAATGTAATATCTATATTAAAAAAGCAAATGATATATGAAGAGTTGTTTAAGAATTCTCCATTAGTAATATTAAATAATTTTAGTGGAGAAGGTATGCAATTGAAGCTTATTGCTTCCATGTTTCAAAATATGTTTCCCACAATAAATTTGACTTCAGTAAGTATAAAAATTGAGTTCAAGTAATGATATTTTAAACTTGCAGTCCTGTGCTTATGAAAATATTTTTATTTATTTCAGGTTAATTTAAGTACAATTCGTCGGTGTTTATGTTTAAATTATAATTCCACGTCAGAAACAATTGATGTCCGACATTACGCTATTAGAGTTGTGCCTGTTGGTTTGTCAAAAGGTGTTAAAAAATTAGTTCAAGCTAAGGTACCAAATCTGTCCAAATGTGAGGATTTTTCCGATTTCTTGAAAAAGGAAACAGTTTCTGAAAGTGAAGCTGAAGATGACCCTGCAAGTCACGTTACTTTGCCACAAAAATTGTCGTCGCGTGGTAATCACGCAAATAGCAAAAGTGCAATTAGACTTTCCGAATTAGGTCCCAGATTGACATTAGAGGTTAAAAATATTCTGCTTATTTTTTGATCATTAAGATTTGAATATAATTACCAGAATTTTTTAAAATAATATTTTTAGTTACTAAAAGTTGAGGATGGACTCTTGGATGGTGAAGTACTTTACCATAAGTATGTTCAAAAATCGGAGGAAGAAAAATTATTAATAAAGAAAAAACGAGAAGAGAAGAAAAAGTTAAAGGAGAAAAGGAAAAAGGTACAAGATGAAAATAAAAAACGAAAAGAACTTCAAAAACAAGAGCACAAAGAAAAATCATTAAAGGGAATGGTGAAAAAGAAAGAAAGTGAAGTATTAATGCAAAAGATTGCGAAAGAATCAGTTGAAGGAAATAATATAGAAGATGATGATGCGCAATATTATCGCGAGGAAGTAGGAGAAGAACCTGATGACGGTAACTACAGTTTTCTACACCAACATTAATAAATATATCACTATTTTGTAATTATTTAATTAATATTTTTGTTATAGATCTTTTTGAAAAGAAAGTTGGTGAAAAAAGACCTAAAAAGTTCACCCCAAAGTACAAGGCAAAGAAACAAAAACTTCAGGAGTCTTGAAATATTTTTTGTCATTATTTATACATCATATAACTAAGTCCATAATTTCATAGTAAAATTATTTTTCGAATCACAGATTTAATGGTAAGATATATATCAGTGTCGATTTAACATTGGTTATTTACATTTTTTGATACCTGTAACTGTTGCTCTATTAAAATATGTATACATTGCACAATATTATACACACATCTATATATATATAAATAAATAATTGTTGTATGCGTTGCACACATAAAAACAGGAGACGTGATACAGAGAAAGTAAAAATTGTCCGATATTTAGTTCGAAGTGATGTCTTACCAATTGCGTCAAGTCATTGTTGAAACAAGAAAACCCTATATTTGTTCTAGTTCCTTTATTCTATTTTGTAATTCTTTTATTAGTCTTGCTCGGGAGCGGCATAAGTCTTTCATCATTTGTTTTTCGTTCAATAATTTTTGCATTTTTGTATAGTCCTATTAAAAAATTATAGTTCAGTATATATATATTATAAATTCAATGGAAATTAATGTACATACATCCACTATGATTTTTAATTATTCATTTCACCAAAATCCTCGTTAAGGCATTTTAAATTATTAATGGAAAGTACCGCGCAATCAGAGCGCGCATAGTGCGCAGGCGCAGCCACGAGAGTGTCGGCTGCGAACCGGCATGCCGCGCAGTTTGTTCACGATCATGGTTGAGTGCGGTTCTCGTTTCTGACACTGCCACGGCCGCGTCTGCGCACTATGCGCGCTCCGATCGCGCGGTGTTTTTCATTAATAATTTAAAAACTAAGCCTTAACGAGTTATTTTGGTGAAGTGAACAGTTAAAAATCATCCTCCCAAAGGATAGTCACCGCAGCCGAACATCTCAGTCCAGCTTACCTCAACAACTCCGCTATTGCTGCTGCAGAAACGTATTGCGTTATCAGGTATCGTTTGACAAGCTTGATCTTTTCTATTAACTTGCCATCGCCTGCAGATATCGCATTCCCACGCATTGACATCGTTCATAGTTTTTTGTAGTTTCCTTATTTCAGAATTTAACTTAGCATTCTGCACAAATAAAACAATACATTTAAAATTTGCACAATTTTCGATAATTTTTCAAACGTACCTTATTACGAAACGCAAGGACGACTTCCTCTAATTCTTTACATTTTTTCTGATAGGGAAAGTTTTCACTTTGGATTTGAATTTCTAATGTTGCAATTTTCCCGTTCTGCGACACTATGTCAAGTTCTAAATCACGAATCTTATTCTTCAGTTGTTGACACTTATCTTCCTGTTCACCAAGATTTTGATCAAATGTAGTTTGTAATTTTTGTTTTGAACTATCTCTTCTTAGCGTGACTCCTTCATTGTTTGAATACATTCTTAATTTCATTTCAAGTTCTTCAACTTCACTTTTAAGTTTTTTATTTTCTGTCTTGAAGGTTTCTAGATTTTCTTTTAAAGTATTAACCATACTCTTCTCTGCTGAATGTAAACGCAAAGTATTCTCTAATTTTGAAATTATAGCATCACGATCACGAATACCTACTGCGCATTTATACAATTCATTATGGAGCTCTCTGTTTCTTGTTGTTAAATCTTGTATCTTAAGCATGTATTCCATAAATTCCTTCTCTTTTTGGCGTAATAATGATTTTTGTGTGTCTAATTCTTTTTTATAGTTATCTACTTTGGCTTGTAATTCTAAATTCTCTCCTTTCAATGCATTAACACTAATCTCATCCTCTGTCTCGATCTCCATTTCCATCTCTGTTTGTGATGTCAATTTAGATGTTCCCACTTGACCTTGAAGTTTTTTATTTTCCTCCCTACATCCTTCCAATTTCTGTTCTACCTCGTACAATTCGGTCTCTAATTTTGAAATTTCAGCATTTTTTTCCTGAATTACTGCTGCATATTCATCCAACTCTTTATCTAGTTCTTTATTTTCCTTAGTTAATTGTTGTACTTGACTTACAGATATCTTAAGTTCCTCAACTTTTCGATTTAATATTAATTTATTACCTTCCAATTCTAATGCAATTTTATTTTTCTCTAAAAGAAGCGCATCATACTTGCTTTCGTCTATTGTTGAACTTGAAGTAGAGTATTTAGACTTATATGATGATGATGTTGTTTTTATTTTTGCATTTTCTTGCAATGTAAGTTCATATTTACCTTTCAGGTCAACTAACTCCTTCAAAGTCTGACTCTTTGCTTCTTGAAGTTCTATCACACGATTCCTCGCACCTTCTAAATTATTCTGCAATGTTTTATTTAATTCTTTCAATTCTTCTATTTCTGTCTGTGCTTTAATTTTACTGGTACTATTTCTAATCTTTCTTTCTAATTTTGCATTTACTTCTTGAAGTTCTTCATACTTTTCTTTTAAGTCGTTTAGCTCCTCTATCAAAGAGATATTTTTATTGTTCAATTCATTTAGTTGCTTGGTTAATCCAGCATTCTTTATTTCCTCTGAATTTAATTTACCTTTGATAATTTCCAATTGTTCTTCTCTCTCCTTTTTTATTTTCTCTATTTCTTCTTTATGTTGCTGAATGACTGATGTCTGATCTTTAACATGTTCTTTTAACATATCATATTCTAATAAAAGTGTTTCCAGTCTGGCTTCATACTCAGAAAGAGTATCACATTTGCTTTTTAAGATTCCAGTGATTTCTTCGATATGAGAATTCTTTTGATCCATCTCCTCAGTCAATTTATTATAAGCCAGTGTAAATTGTTCGAGTTCTGCATTCATGTTATCTATATTTTGATTATTCTTCTTCATTTCAATTGAATTTGCTTCTAAAATATTCTTCAGCTGCTTTTCATTAGCCTCTAGTCCTTCGATGTTACTATTTAATTCCAAATTCTTTGTTTTGTATGATTCAATGGTGTACAGTAGCTCGCTTATTTTCTTTTCATACATGTCCTTCTCGGTTTTCATCTTCGAATGTAACTCCATTTCCTTACATTCAAAAATTTTCTGTACTTCCTTTTCTCGTTTTTGAGCAACAAGTATCGCTCTTTCTTGTTGATTATCAATTCCACACTGTTTATTAAATTCAGTTTGTACATTGTTGAAGTCCGCTTCTAATGTTTCGACTTGTTGTTTAAGAATCTCGTTTTCACGAGTGCTCTCTTTCAAAAGATGTTCGAACTGAGAAACTTTATTTTTGTACTCCTTCTGGGCATGTTCTCGTTCCATGATATCCGAATGAAGTTTCTCAATTTCTGCTTCCAATTCTTTAGCCCATATCGTCGTACGTTTCTCCATATCTATACACTGCTGTTTCTCATCTTCTAATTTCCGTTTCTCTTTTTCACAAGTTTCACGTATATTTTTAATTACTTCTTTTTCTTTAGATACAAGCGCGTGCAACAAAACTATAAAGATTTCGTTTATAGATTTACTTGAAATATCTGTTGAATTTATGTTACATTTGAGCGATGTTAATTCTTTAATCATACATGTTTTAATATCATCTAATTCTTTTTTCAGTTTTTCATAATCACTGTCTAATATATTTTTCCTACTGAGTACTTGTTCTTTTTCATTCATCATTTCATTGTACTTTTGTTTAATGCTTTGTAAACTACTTAGTTCTCCTGTTAACTTCAAATTTTCATCAACATATTTATTTAACGTATCATTTAATTGTTGTACACTGTTTTGAGATTCTTCTAGACACTGTTGATACTGCAGTGACATTGAATCAAATTCATTTTTATATTTCATTTCTAGATTATTTTTGAATTCAATTACTTCAGTTTCAGCTGCTTGTAATTTTTCGGCAAGAAAATGTTTTGCTTGTTCATTTTCTTGCAAAAGCTGTTCCAAATAAAACGTTCTCTTCTGAAGTTCTGCAAATAAAGATTCTTTATTCATTATGTCTGTTTGTAAATTATTTATATGCGCTTCCATGTCTTTGATTTTTGATGCATTGTACTGTTCCAATTCCTTACTTTGCATATTTTCTTTTTGCAATCCTTCGCATCGTTTCTTCAGACATTCTAATTCTTCTTCTTTATCTTGAATTATATTCGTATCAATTAATTCATTTTTCTGATTTCTCATTTTATCCAATTCACTGCTTAAACAAAAAATACGTTCATTTAATTGAGTAATTAGTACATTTTTATTTTCTTCTTCAACTTTTAAATTTTCTAGCGCTACTTCTAACATCAGCCTTTGACTTTCGAATTCTTTTTCTCGCTTAGAAAAGTGTTCAATTTCCTTGCTCATGTTCTCTAAATCATTTTCAAGAATTTGTACCTTATTTATCGCTATGCATTCGTTGTTTGCCACCTTTTGTTGCAACTCCTCATTCAGTTCTTTCAACATATTAATTTCATCTAGCAGTTCTGCTTTTTCAACTTTAAACTGATTAAACATAACAGTAAAATTTGTGCTGTTCTTCTTCATCTCGTCCACATCATCCTTCAACTGATCAATGTAATTCTGCATTTGACGTACTCTGTTTTCGCCTTTATTCGAATCCTTCTTTAGTGTTAAGTTATCAGTAGCATTCGTCGTATTTGCAATCATACCGCCTTGAAGCTTTTTAAATTCATTACACTTATCTTCATATAAAATTGATAATTTCTCATGATCGGTTTTTAAAGTTTCCAGTTCGTCATTTAAGCTCTGAATTTTCCCTTCGACAAAGCTAATATCCATTTCATTTACAAAGCTAACATTTAAAGGAGTATTAATTTCACTCACATTTAGGTCTTGATTAACTTTCTGTTTCAGGATCTCAGTGTCCGCGCACTTACGATCAAACTTTCTTTGTAAATCTTGCAGCTTTTGATTCAGAACTTTTGCTTCCAGTTTAAGAGCTCGGCGACTTTCACTTACATTTCTTAAGTGCGCGCACTGACTGCAAGAAGTTAATTTCAAATCGCTTAATTTTTTATTTAAACGTACTACGTGGTCTATCTTGTTCTGTAGCATTATAACTTTATTTTTCAACACCTCAGGATTCTCTTCATCCTGATCTTCACCAATCTCTGTTGTACTGTTTTGAAATATCGTTGATAAGTGTAAGGTATTATTATATGATTTTTCATTACAGGAAGAATCAAGATCTTCTAGAGTCTTTAATAAATTATTTGAAAACTTTGCATTCTCATCAGACAGTATTGTTACTTTAGTCTTTAATTCTGCAACTTCTGCTAACAATGTATTATTTTCTACCTTTAACTGTTCTACTTCATTTTCAGCAAAATTTTCATTTATTGTCAACAATTGTTTTGTTTTACTTTTTAATATATCGCATTCTTCCTTCAACTTGTCGTTTTCTTCTATTTTATCTATTAAATCAGTCGAGAGCTCGTTATTTTCCGCTACTAGACATTTATTGTTTTTTTCAAGAATAGCCATTCTTTCTTTATAAATACATTCGTGATCAAACAATAGTGACTTACTTTCTTTGATACTCTCAAGTTCCTTATTTTTTTCTGCAATGGAAGTTGATAATTCAATGTTTTCTGCTGTTAATTTGTCGATTTTAATTTGATACGTTGCAAACAATGAATCTTCATTGCTTGTTTCCGGTATCTTAGAACGTATGGATTCCAGCTGATCTTTTAAAGTTTCCAAATCGCTTTCCAAATTAATTTTCTCGTTTGTAACTTCAGAAATCCGCATGTAAAGTTCATCGATTGTTTTCTGAAGATTAAGCTCTGTTTGTTTTGCATTCTCTTGTTCAGTGGTTAATTTATTAGCCATCTCCATATTTTCAGTCGTTAACAAATAAATAGTGTCTTGTAAATTTTGTATGTCTGTTTTAAGCCCACGAACATCATTTTTTATGTCTTCCAACTCCCGACTTTTTAATTGAAGAACTTCTTCCAATTCGCTCTTTTCTGTTTCTATATTTATAATCAAAGTTGAAAGGTCTGCATTGCTTTCATTAACTTTTGAACTTTGCAAGATAGATTGATTTGTTAATTGATCTTTCAAATCTTGATTTTCTGTTTGTACGTTTGTTAAAGTTTCTTGTAAATTTTTTACGCAATTTTTCAGATCATTATTTTCGCTTATATAATCATATTCGCTTTTTGATTCCAATTCCGAAATATTTTTACTTGATTCTTCAAATGATTTATACGCAGCATGATTAAATTCAGAAATTCTCTCTTTTAATTCGATATTCAATTTATTTCTTTCAAGTGTGATGCTTTCAATTTGTTTATTTAATTCAGAGATCGTTTCCATTGCTTTTTGATTCTCAGTTTTTTCTGATATTATGTTTGCATTCAGCTCAGCAACGATACGTTCCAATTCATTATTCCTAGATGATATACTTTCAATTTGTACTTCAAATTCAGCGATTTTTTCAATCGCTTTGCGATTTTCTATTTCTTGTAACATTCTATTGTCTTCAACTTCAGCATTTTTCTGATTCAATTCATCGCGTATTTCATTATTAACACGTTCATGTTCTGTGTTCTGGAATGTTAAATTTTCAATTTGTTTCTCTAGTTCCACTGTTCTTTGATTTCCAGGTTGCTGTGATATTGCTTCTGTTTCAAGTTCAGAAATTTTTTGATCAAGTTCAGACTGTAATTTAGTATTGATGCATTCGACTTTACTTTTCTCAGATATTGTGGTTTCAACTTTTTTCTCTAAGTTAGAAATCTTCTCAATCGCCTGTTGATGTTCGGTTTGTTGTAATTCAATTGCTGACTTAAGTTCAGAAACATTGTTGTTTAAATCAGCGTTAGTCTGTTCAAGCTCCTTTTTCTCGAAAATAACCCGTTCCATTTGTTTTTCCAATTCGGAAATTTTGCTCGTTACTTCCTGATTAATAGTTCGCTCTGATAGAAGTTTCGATTCTAAATCAGTAATTTTCTCTTCAGCTTGGTTTTTATTTGAAACCACTTCTTCAATCTGTTTTTCTAACTCAGAAACCTTTTCAATTGCCTTTTGTTTTTCAGTTCGTTCTGAGTTAACAGCAGATTCCAATTCTGTATTCGCATGTTCAAATTTATTTCTTTCAAACCTGATGCTTTCAATTTCTTTTTCTAATTCTACAATTCTATATGTTTCTGTATTCGCAACGATTGAATCATTCCTCAGCCTTTCTAATTCTAAAGATTTTTTATTCAATTCCTTACGCAATTCGCGACGTATGTGCTCGAATTCATTTCTTTCAGAAGTAATATCTTCAATTTGTTTTTGCAATTCTGTGGTCTTCTTCGATAATTCAACACTTAATTCAACATTACTACGTTCAAACTGATTTTTTTCAAAAGTGATACTTTCAATCTTCTTCTCTAACTCTGAAATTTTGTTCATTTCTTGCTGCTTTATATTTTCCTCCGACATGTTTTTCAATTCTAATTCCACGGTCTTTTTCTTCAGTTCTGCGCGCAGTTCACGACTGATATATTCAAATTCGTTTCTCTCTGAGGTAGTATTTTCAATTTGTTTCTTCAATTCTGAATACTGTTTCGTTTTCTTACGATGTTCATCTATTTCTAAAGAATGTTGCTTCTCAACTTCGTTTAATTTAACGCACAGTTCAATAATTACACGGTTTACATCTTTTTCTTCAGCAAGATTGAGATCTGTAAGTCGTTTCTTCACTTCCGAAATACATTCTGTGTCGTAGCTGGCTGTGGCTACTTTTGTTTCTTCAATTTCTTCCAAGTCATATTTCAACCGAGTTCGTACCAGTGGAAGAATTTGTGCTTCTTCGCGTAGAAAACAATTTTCTTGACACATCAATTGTTTTTCTAGTGTTGTAAACTCGCGAAGTTCCACAAATTCTTTGGTCAAATCAGTGATACGTTGACGTAAAGTTTGCTTTGGCGTAGATGGGGAAATATGGAAACCGGTTTGAGTTGATATATTACACTTTTCTGGTGTTGTATCAAAACTATTCTTCTCCTTAATCGTATGTATATCATCGTTAAATGTAACACGATGTTTACGTTTTGTGATGTAAGGTACTTCTTCGCTGTCGCTACCATCCCCTTTAGATTCTCGATTTCTTTCACTTTCAAATAATTCTAATTCAAAATCAGCAAACTCTGTTTGAAATGTTTGATTCATCATCTCTATAGACTGAAGGACATTTTTTCTTTCCGGCTTTTCAAACGATACTTCTTTTATAGTCGGTAAACCAGTTTTAGGCTGAAAAGCAGGTAAATGTTGATTAAACATTGCAGGACCACCCCATGTCTGTCTTCTTTTAGATCTGCACTTGAATGATTCTTCTGGATCCGAAATATCCCCGGAAACAATGCGAGTTTTTAATAATTCGATACGCTCTTCTAACAATTGATTAATACGATCCTTTTCTTGTAACTTTGATTCCATTTCTTCCATTTCTGCAGACCGATGTCCAGTTTTTATTTTCTCTAATTCTGCTTGAAGTTTAGCCAACTGCTTTGCATATCGTTTTAAAAGTGCTGCGTCGGACATAACTTCGTTAACTTGTGGTTTATTCTTTACACTTTTAGCACGAGATGCAAAAGATAAAGTACATTGAGTCTCTTCCAAAGCGGCAGGTGTTATGGCACAAATTATAGCTGTCATAGCATTGCCGCCCAACGAAGTCTGCAGTAATCTTGTTAGTTTACTATCGCGGAAATTAACGTGCTTTTGACCGTCCTGTGATTCACTTAATTGCATAATTACTAAACCTAATGTGGAAAGAGATAAATTGATGTGTCTCCCCTCTTTGAATCTTTCACCAGTTGCTCCTGTTTGTCGTGCTCTTTCAGAACCAGCAAGATCTACTAAATTCAGTTGGGATACTTGGATAGCACCATCTGAACTTCCCCCAGCTTCTCTGCTTTCAATTGTCTAAACACAGAATTTATGTTTATATGTTATATATAAAACACACTGATTAGTAATAAACTTACAATTCTAAATATGGTATGACTTCTACTGCTACGCTCATTCATATTAGTCTCTCCTATTCTTCTATTTTTGTCTCCCTTCTTCATTATGACCAACACATTTTCAGGACTATTTGTGATTTCCTCTTTACACTGTACAACTACTTGCCCAGTTCCATCTTCTTTTAATTTTAAATCAATACCAGTTTTGTTCAAAAGATCATTAACTCTTTCATTGTATATTTCTAAATATGATACTCTAAAAAATAAAATACACTGGAATTAGTAGATGATATTGTTATCCTTTTGTTGATAGAGATGTACATATACAAACCTTAATAAAAATTCACGTCCAGCACTATTAGCAATGGCATCAAACATGTGTTCAATAGCAAGCGGTATAATACCAGGTTCTTCCAGAGTACCCATCATGGTATAAGTTTTACCCGAACTTGTCTGACCGTAAGCAAATACTGTTCCATTGAAGCCATTTACTGCTGCATTAACAATAGGTTTTACAATAGCGTTAAATACATCTAAATTAGATATGTTCATATCAAATATATGATCTGAAAACATAATGTTAGAAATTAATACACTAACACAGTAATAGTTTTTAGATAGTGTATAAGTGATTGGTATATACCAAAGCAAAATCCTCCATCGCCACGTTTTTTCATTTCTGGATCCGTGGAAATAATAGAATTCCCTTGAACTGTCCATTGTATCGGCAGATTATCATCCTTTTCCCGTTTAATTAAGGGTCTTACTTTAACAGCTACTTTTATACTGTCCGACATTTTTACTTAATGCTGTTTTAGTTTAATCGTCAAACAATTCACATTATCTTAATACCAATTTACTTTTAGAAAAACTTTACATAGTTTACTTATATTGTACGACACTGACACATTAGTATAGCATAACTGCCATTTGAAACAGGGAGTCCTTCCCGTTTAAATTTGAACTTTCTGTAATCTGATTGGTATATTAAAGCATGTATTTAATGTAGATAAGATTGGTAAGACAGTGAACATTTCATGAACAGGCATTTTGAAGTTTATCTTTTTTTACAGATGGCGGTAAAATGGTGTGGAACAAGAGCCAGTAGCATTCAAATAAAAGCTTCGCGCCAAAGTAGTACTGGTTTATGATTGGTTATCGTATTCGAAAGTACTTAACCTAACTTTTTGATATAACCAATCACGTTACAGTTGTGCATTTGACGAGTGATGCGAGATTTGTTCGGCGCGTTTCAAAATTTAAAGTTTTTAAAAAATTATTGTGTTACTATTTTTTAACGTTCCAAAAGAACTACGAAATCATCACCAACTTTGCTGCTACTCACGTGAGTAATATTTATATAACACTTTAAGAAAATCATGCATTTCAAATTTGCAATATTTTATTACATATTGTATATGTATATGTATCTCTACAAAAGTGAACACCAATTAACATATTATATAATTATATATATAATATTAGACATAATAACATTTTTTATGACTAGCATCATATAAGCTCCTTCTTTTAGTATAATTTGTTTATCAGTTCCAGTAGACTAATTTTTCATTTCATTACTTCACTTGTAATGATAATAAATAATGGTAACTCATGTTTTCTAAACCACAAATTTAAGAGAAAATGTTACATATTATAACATTAAAATGACTTATGATTTCATTAACTGATCTATTAAACAATTCAAGATTTATCGCTAACATGCAAACATAGTTGAACATTTCATTTTTATATAATATGTAATAAATAATGATTTCAAGACACTTCAGTTTTCTATGATCCGCAAACAGGACAGCTCAACCGAGCCAGCTATGTATTTTGATTGGATTAGATGTCTATATTCTTAATAATAAAGAATAGACACAATCCACTGTTTGCCAACTGTGTGTTATCTTTGGTACTTTCTTATAACAGTATACCGTTCTCTACATTCTATGCTGTGCTAGACTTCAGTGACTCATCTATCAAATAATCAGAAGCATATCCCTACAATGCTTTTGTTTGGTGATTCTCTATGGTCTCAAGACGAGACTAGAGATAGCATTATTCTTGCCAAAGTGCTTTCCATTATACGGATCATAAGCATACGCTTGATAATCAGAACACAAAACTTAATTAATAACTTAGTTTTAAAATCTATAGTAAAAGATTAAAATTATTCTAACTTACATGGACGGATTGGGTCTAAGTATTATATTGCGAAATTTCATTCTAAAAATTTTTCAAATGTTATAGATGATAAAAATAGCATAGTATGTAAACATATATAAAACAAAAAAGGAAGAGCTTTCCCATGAGATGGTATAGATATTAAATTTTTAAATACTGAATAAGTCTGCAGTTGATTGATTCTAAAAAATGTATAAAAAATGTATAATACTATTATCAAAATGGCCTAATCTTTGAATGATCTATGGTAATAATTTTAAATGCATTTGTGACTAGTATGAGATATGTCAAATCATGTTCCCATATATGGAAGAATTATTATATACTATTCTTCGTGTAAATATCTGAACGCATGTTGGCAGTTTTCTTATCCGATTCAGTCTGAAACAGTGTTGGAATTCATTTGAGCTGTGCTGGCGTGGAAGATCTATCGTAAGATGATGATGGAGGTACAGCTAATGACGGGGGTAAACTGGTAGTACTTGTTAGTGTGGAATCCAATTTTCTAGCTTCGTGTTCTAACAATACTGCATCTAATGATGGATCTTGCGACACTGTTCTCAAAGAGTCACCCAAAGCTTGTCTCAATTGTTGCATTTCACGACCAGCTCTTGAACTTCTCAGCACGTACAATTGTCGACGTTTTATTTCTTGGTTCAGTTGTTCGCGTAACAATTGTATCTGTTCATAGATTTAATCACATAACAAATATTCATCAAGAGAGCAAGAGAAATTAAAAATTGAGTAGATATTAGTATACCTGATTTTCCAGACGTAACACCTGTTGACGATGGCTTTGCTCCCTTGCCTCCAACAATTTTTCTGCTTGCAATTGAGCCGCTCTAAGTCTTTCTATTTCTCCCATTCTGTCTCGGCTGTAATCGTATATCGAATGCGTGTGAACGTAACTCGATTTCACTCTTATAAGTTCAGCTTCCTTTTCTGCAAGTTGAGTCTCCAATCTGCGCACTTTTAATCTCAATTCTCTGTTCTCTTGTTCGAAGTGATCAAAATCAAAACTTGTACCCAGCAATTCTGCGTGTGCTTTTTCAGGACGTTCGTAACTTTTACTACGACTGGTTGATTTATACAAAGATAACTGACGTTCTAAGTTACGTTTATCAGCTTCCAATAATTTCACCTAAAAGAAAAGAAATGTTTCTTACCCCTGTGATTATCTTTTTGTCGTAAATGTTACCTTCTCATTTAGAGCTTCTGCTTTTCCTCTTATCTCACTTCTCTCCCTCTGAGCTGTTTGCAACTGTCTCAACAATTCTTCATCTCTGTTCGTACTTTCTTCTTGTGGATAAGTAACTAGTCTCAACTGAGATTCTAAGGCACAGCGTTGTACTTCGTTATTCGCCAATTCATTCTGCAGACGAGTGATTTGATCTGTTAACGTTTGGTTTGTATGTTTTAAATCGCTTAAAGACTGTTGCAGAGATTCCGCGCGTTCTGATAGAACTCTGCGTTCGTTTTCAGCATTCGAAAGTTGTTTCTGTAACTGAAATAGAAAATAGGGAAAACTGTTTGAAATTTTCAAGAGACAAATCACTGATGGTTGATACCTGTTTGGTCTTTTCATTAGAAGTCTGTAAGGAAGCTGTTAATTCCATAACATGGTGTTGCAATGAATTAATTTCAGTTTTCAATTCGCTCTCCGTATTAGATGCTTTCTCCAGCGCAAGATTTAGCTGTTCTGTTGTAGACTTCAACGAAGCACAACGTTCTTCTAAACTTGCCATGGCTCGATTTTGAATGTCATTGCGTTCTTGCAGCTTCTGAATATTTGCTTCCTTTTCTTGGTACATCATTTGCAATCTTTGAAGATCACCTTCTAACGACATCCTTTGCAATTCTAACTTTGTAGCGCGGGATTCACTTCTACTCAGCTCCTCTTGTAGATTACGTTTTTCATTTTCTACTTTATTCAAGGCTTGCTTCAGTTTGTCCAGCTTGTCCTACAATATTTTTTATTTTACCCCTGTTTCGTTGATAAAAAAATTATATTTTTACCTCATATTGTGACTTTTCTTCAGAACTACTGTTAATCATCAATTCAAGATTCGTCATTTTTTCACGCAACTGTTCACACTCCTCCGTTTTTTGTTGCAAAGCGTTTAACTGAAATACACTTATCAAATAACCAAATATATATTACCATTGTAACGTTGTAAGCAAAACGTACCTGCATTTCGTAACCGCTCTGTTTCTGCGAAAGTTTCACTTCCAACGAGTTCTTTTCATCTTGCAACATTCTTATGTTCGTTAGTAAATGATTTATTTGAGCATCTGATCTGTTTTGTACTTCCTGAGTCTCTGCCAATTGCTTTTGCAAATTACACAATTCTGTTTTGTAGTCATCCTGGAATTTAAATAAATGTGCAATGTAAAATTAGTAGACTACGAATTACAAAGACAATATGTATGATTACCCTTTCACGTTCAATTTGAGCTACTTGTTGCATTAGAGAACGTACACCCTTTCTGATAACTTCTGGATCAACGTCAAGTATCATATCTCTACTAGAGTCAATATGATCTTGCACTAAATCGTAATAAAAATACATTAACTTGGCATTATTTAGAATGATCTGTTTATTACGTACCCCTCGCTGGACTCCATCTTCTCGAAGGGCTCATTACTTTAAAAGGTATATTAACGCTACCATCCATTTGAATACCCGCGATACGACGTAAAGTAGAGCCAACGCTACTCAATTTTTGCTCCACCTCCTTCTTCGCCATTTCTAATTGCGATAACTGTGCATCTAAAGCTCGAACCCGTCCCTCGGATCCTCCAAGACGTGCTTTGAGTTCTTGAATTTGTTGAGAAGCATCAGCCAGACAAACCTCCAGATTGTGCTTTTGATCCTCCAATTTTCTTTCGCGACATCGACTGTCCTCGAGTCGAACCACCAGCTCTTGTTCCCTGGTTCTCCACCTTTCATTCTCTTCGTCAGAACGTGAACGTAATCTTCCCAGTTCTTGTCTGGTTACTTTCAAACTATTATCCACGTCTACTAATTGCTTCTTCAATTGATGCAACTGGAGTTGCAAACGTTCCCTCTCTTCGGTTTCGTTCGTCAGTCGAGCATGCAATTCCTTTTCATCATTCTGCGCTTGTGCGTTACTGTTATGAGATTTTTGTAATTCATCCTGGGTAAAACGAAGCTGTTTCTGAAGTTGTAACATTTCTCTTTCCACGTCGCGAAGCTGTGTTTGAAGGCGAGATCTCTCCGCATCTATATTTACTTTCGTATCTTCCAATGCTTTTGCATGTACAAAATATAAATAAATAACGTGCAATGATACTATAAGTGATCATTATAAAATATATTACCTGCAATCTTTTGATAAGCTTCTTCCAACGTTCTGTTCTGTTCTCTTTTCTCACTCTCAATACGTTTCACATGTTCGCGTAGCTCTTTGTTACTGCTGTTGTATTTTTCTTTCTCATACGTGGAATCACCCAATTGTCTTCTGACATCCATTAATTCTTTCCGTAAAGTTTCATTTAGATTTTCAGCTATAAATGCACGGTAATTAAAGTAGGAGCAATAAGCAATATCAATATGAAAAGTAAATATAAAATGTACCATCTTTAAGCTTTCTAATCGTTTCCTGTAATTGATTTTGCAAACTATCAACTCTGTCTTCAGTCATGTGCAATTGAACTTGCAACTCTTCGGATTCCCTTTGCGCTGATTCTCGTTCTTTCCATAACTCTTCAACTTTTAACTCGAGTTTGATCTTCTCTTCATCGGCTTTTAACTTGGCTTCGTCTAATTTTGTTTTAAGACGACTCAATTCGTCGCGCAACTGATTTGTATTGTTACGCTCTTGTTCAGCACGCGATGCGGCTTCCCTTTTAACTCGTTCTACGTTACTTTTTTCCTCTTCCATTTCACGCAATACTCCTTCAAGTTTTTCCACTAACGCTTGTTGATCGTGATGAGCTGTAAAAATGATTACTTATTGAAATTTGCATTGAATCCTCGCATTTTACATGTACGTTTATTACCTATAAGAAGAGCTTGCTGTTTATCATTTTCTGCTCTAAGAAGAACCTCTTCATGTTGCTGGCACAGATTTTCCATATGCTGTTGCATTTCATCAATCTTTTGGTGCAGCTGATTTATCTCATTATCTTTCTCTTCTCCAAGCTGTAACAGAGATTGTTGAAGTCGCTTTTCCAAACCCATTTTTATCTGTTCCTGTAAATGAATTCAATTAATATCCTTGTACGATATTTCTGGTGATTACGTTTATAAACACAATACTTTTTCTTCGTTCAATTTTTTAATACTCTCTTCGCTATGCTTCTTCATGTTAGAAATGATTTGATGAAATTCAGCTTCTTGATCGCCACTTTGTTGGGTTAAAGCTTGTTTTACTTCCTGTGCCCGTTTTTCACTGTTTTCTAACTCCTTCACCAGCCTTTCCACTTGACCTTTCAAATTTTCTTGTTTTATCAACAATTCCTTCTGTTCTTTTTCTAATTGTGTTTTCTTCACGTGCATATTTTCTAAATTGCTTTGCGTGTCGAATAAGACACCTTCCAAGGTTTCTTTTTCGCTACGCATTGATGCAAGCTGTTCCTGTAATCTCTGAACTTCTTTTTCATTAGTTTCTAAAAGTACCTGTAACGAAACAATACAAATAAATTTACAATATAATTTGCAATGGTGTATAAAATATTTACTTGTTTCTCTTCGTTGTCTTTTACAAGATCTTCCAAATTTCGATTGATTCTTCCGTTCATTTCATTCGCCTGTTCTAATCTTTGCCTAAGTCTCATTAATTCCTCGTTCAATGTTTCCTTCTTTCGTGCTAAAACTGATAATTGATTACTCAAATCCCCACGCTCGCGCGTAACTTGTGCTAATTCCATTTCGATCTTTTCTTTTTCAATTTCCAGGAACTTCACTTTCTCGTTCAATGTTACTTTTTCTGATTCTAAATCGAGCCTAGTTTGTTCTGCTTGAAGTAATTCTTTTCTCAACGAACCCAAATCACCTTGCTGATCAGTGCATTGACTTGCCAATTTATTTTTTTCTTCTGTTACCTGAATTGAAAAAATATCATCGATGATTTATATAATTAAGTAAATTCAGAGTGACTTAGAATCGTTACTTTTTTTAGTTCTTCTTCCAGTCGTTGCTTTTCTTGCTCGTGGTTGCTGCAGACAGTCTCTAATTTCATTAAAACTTCTTGCATATCTGATTTTTCTAACAATACTCGTTCCAATTCCAATTCCAAGTCGCCTGGATGATAATTAATCAATTTATATTAAACAAAACATTTGCGAAAAATAAGGTACGTTTTTTAAAATTAAATTCACCCTTATTTTTTTCAATTTGAGAAATTAATCCATCAGTTTCTAATTTTTGCTGCTCGAGCATATCTTTCGCAAGATATGCTTTATTCAATTCTTCGCGTAAAGTTAATAATTCTTCCCTCATTTTGCTGCATCTGTCTTCTTCCGATCGAAGATTTAATTCTCTGATAATTTAATTTACATTTTGTTAATCAACAGTGGTACGCGTTAACAGAGTTGTTATTCATCATACCTTAATTCGATGTCCTTGGATAATCTATTGACTTCATTTTGAAGATATAATTTTTCATCTTCCAGATTATCACATAGCTTTTGCAATCTGTTGTTAGCTTTTTGTAACTTCTCACAATCGCTGTTTAAGTTCTCCATCTAAAAATACTTACTTTATGTCAATAATGAATGATAAGCCGTACATTATCTACGAAAAAGTTTAAAAAAGAATACAGCTTACCATGCTGTTAATTTCCACTCTACTTTTATCCAGTGCATTTTTCTCTAATCTTACAATATCAAGACCTTTCTGTAACATGTCTTTCTCTTGAACAAGCTGCGAACATTGTGATCTCGTCGCGTCCAATTCAGTGACCAATTCCTCTACTTTTTTCTCTAAACTTTTAACATTCTCTTCCGCGTTCTCACACTGTTTGCGACTCGTTAGCAATTGCTCTTTGTTCGTTTGCAATTTAACCTGATATAATAACTCGTTTAAATATGATATTAGAAAATATAGTAAGCACACAATAGGATGAATTTGTGCTCTCATAATTTACCAAAACATACAATACAAAATCTTCACACCTGAAGCTCGTGTATAGTTAACTGATATTTGTGTAGAGCTGATTGTACAGCACTGATAGTACTTTCAGCAAAAGCTGGAATGGTGTTGCTTCTTGTACCTCTTTTCGGTGATTTTTGAGGGATTGGCCCAGTGGGGGATAAATGAAGATGAGGAGGCGGTTGAGTATTTTCAATATCCTGACTTTCTGCATCTTGGATCACAATATGCGCTATATCTTTTAACGCAGATTGAAGAATTTCTATGTCGTCTTGTATGCGCACGTTGCGATGCATTTCTGCTTCTGCCTCCCCAAACTTTTCTTCCTAAACATGGAATATAATTACTGTACATCAGCTATTTCACTTCTAGTTGACATCGTTTTAATTTAAATGTTTACCAAATTATGAACGTCGCGAACAAGTTGATTAATTCTTTCTTCTTTTGCGCGAATCTCGTTTTGAGCAACATCGTATCGCTGCTTAACTGCTGTTAATTCTGTTTTTAATTCATTTACCTCCTGCTCTTGTGCTTGTTGAATGTGCTGCGATATCTGAAACACAATAAAATTGAAATGTAAACAATATATGATGCAACAGAATTTATTAATAAAATTATGTACCACTGGTTGCATAGCCGCATGCATTCGCATAGCGAATCCTGTATTGTTACAAGCCGATGAAACTTCGTTAAAGGTTGAAATGATACTGTTTTTCATCTTCAATAGATCTCTTTCTGTATTAGATTTTATCTCTGCAAATAATCGTTTTACGGAAACAACATCGCGCCAAAGATTTAATAGCCTGTTGTGCTCAGAAGTATAATATTCGTTAAAAGCCTGTTCCTCTTCTCTCCATTCTTCTTCTTTTACAGCCAATTCTTCTCTCAGAATATCCCAATCGTTACTTAGTTTCTGCAGGTCATTTGTAAGTGCTTCATTTGTATGATGAGATTCTTCTAATTGATCCTTCAAAGTTGTGTTTAATTGTAATAATTTTTCACACCTGAATGAAAAATGATATTTAAATAATCATACCATACATTTAATGGCTTTTATTCAAGTAGAAAAATATTACCTTCTACGTTCATCTGCAAGTTTTCTTAAAGCAGTATCTAAATCATGAATTTGTTCTTCACGTATTTCCCTCAGTGTCTGTTGAGCTGCATCTAGAGCAGAGTTTGCAGGGGGTATAGAGCTTGAAATTTTGTTAGTGTCATATGTAACAGATTCAGCCATTTGATTTTCAAGTTCTGAACATCTTTGCTTATACTGTAAAACCTAAACACATGAATTAGTACTACATGTTTAAAGATTTAATCCTAGGCAAATGTAAGCTTTACTTTAGCTTGTAAACGGGAAACAAGAGCAGCCTGGTGTTGCTGTGCTTGGCGATATGTATCCAAACGTCTTTTATAGTTTGTTGTTTCTTCTTCAAGTCTATGGCGTAGTTCATAATTTTGTCTGACCAATACATCAGGTGAGAGATCTTCATCACTTACACGGTCTTCTGTGCCACCTGTTATACTGCCAGTAGAGTCCATTTTAGTACCTCTGTTTCTGTCTCCCTACAATAATGATAATAATAATGATTTTTTTAATACAAAAATAACAAAGACTTATTAGTATTTATACGATTTGATACCTTCTAAAGGTCAAAAAATTTCTTATATTACATTATATTAAAAATTAAAAACAACTATGTACAAATATTGAAAAATATTTATTGTGGTGTTGTTTGTTAATACAGTTAGCATTTTGCCGCATTGGGATAAAACGGTGTGAAGCATAAAGTCAGATATTCATCATTTAGGTTATGTTTTTGTTTATTGTTTACGGTTGCTTAGGAAATTGTGTAGGGATCATGCGATCCCTATTCGTTTTTTTGATACTTTAAGTTGGTTGCACTGGTGGAGTAGTTAAGGGGCGCGAAATCGAATAAAAAATATTTAAAAAAGAAGAAAATGTACTATCTTTTTGGCAAGGTAACAATCAAAATATTTTCCTGTAACAAAAATTCATGGATACAATGGCTGTGTCTAAAAACATTTTCAGTACTAAATGCATCGAAATACCTCTCTCATTTTATTGGGGCCTCTGAGAAACGGTGCTCGCCGCCTTTCCATCTGTCCTTTCGCCGAAAATTGTGAGAAACCCTTAGACAATGGCTAAAACACATTTTTTTTAAATGCATCAAATACTTTCGTTTTCTTAGACAATAAAAATGAGGAAAGGAAACGATAAGAATGAGAGATGATTTTTATAACATTTGACTCATGTTCCACGGCACGTACTTCAATCCAGTTATGGTTACACTAGGTCAGCTTAATCTACACGAGTGCAATAATCAAAGCAATTACAAAAAGTGCCATTATCGACACGAGTTAGTCAGACACATTTTCCTGGTTCCTCATTTTCCTCGATCTTCATTTTTCTTCAGCGGGGGTTTTGAAACATTTGGAATTAGGATCAGAAAATGGTAACTCTTAAGGGTGGCATTATCCCTTAAATTCTAAAAATTCATGTCAAAGTAATTTGATAAGCTGTCGTGGTTGAATCGTTGGAACATTCGAGTAAGAGGTATTACCGAATACCCATCACTGTTATTGGACATCCTAATTGCCAGGGAAAACGAATTGCCAACGGGACGAGTGGAGCATGGTCGTGCTCCTCGAGTTTCTTCTTTTGCCAAAGCTTTGTCGTATCCGGTATCTGCGCAAATGGAAGTAGAAGAAGCACAACCCTCTGCCAGGTACCGAATGGCACCAATCGATATGTGTATAGCCAAACTGGCTGCTCCTCCTCACCAGGATATCACCCCTCGAATACGTTCATCCAACTTTTCTATTACTTCCTACACACTACTTTCGAATCGTTACAAATATTCTAAGTGACCAGCATCGGAATCCCTTAACCCTTTCATAACGAATTCATTTCGATAATGCAACGTGGTCGAGCAATTTGGAAAAATTTTTATTGAAAAATTTAGTACAAAGTTCGAGGCGCGAACGTGGGTGGGTATCGTTCCGGGTAACTCCCTGAGAATCTCGCAGCTGTACTAATAATCGCGACAAGATAAACCAGCAGGGATCGCGTTCGATCTCCCCCGCGGATAGCAATAACAATTAGCGCGTTTAAAAGTTGTTGAAGTCTGAAAATTTATGGCTCGTTTTCGATCACGTGTCCCGTTCGAAACGATATCGAGTTTGAAACTCGGTGCCTCGTAATTGCGCTATGTCAGGGAACAATTCATCGAATTCGGCCAACTTATTTTAAACAAATTCAGAAAATCGTCGTTGATTCGACAAAGGCTCGTAAAGTCTCCGGACAAATTGCCAAATCGGTGATCAGTAAGCGATCGTGGAATTTGAACCGTGTCAAAGCAACGAGGGAAACGAGCGAACCAGATCGAACCGCATACCCATTTATCTGAACGAGTTTTTGTAGACAGTGGTTCCGTGGGTCATTGAGATTTCACCTCTTCTCTCGTTATTTCTCCCTCTTTTCTCACGTTATCCCCTCGGTGATAGCGACACTGGCATATTGTACGTGTGCTTTTTACTATTTCTCTACGATTTCTCTTACTATTGTCCCACCATTTCGATATCACTCTAGCTAGTTTATAATGTTAATAATGTTAATCAGAGTAAATTAGAGGGTGTCCGTCCCTAAAAAATTTCTAGGGTTAGACGCCCTGTTAATAGGAAATAGCGAAAGTTTCAACGACCACGGTAGAAGCATGAATCGATTCGGTATTCGAAGCATTTAATCGAACCTCATTCTACCATGGTCAAGGACGAGCCAAGGCGTCCCTTTTGCGAAACTATGTGACCGTGAATTCTCGTGCAACGAGGCCCGAATTCTCTCACGCTACACCCTTTCGATGCACTTATCGGATAACTTGAGCACCCTTCGTACACCAAGAGGTGTTCAAGTTATTTTACTAAAGAACAAGAAGGATCAATTTAATATTTTATATTATTATCTGAACTTATATGTACGTATTTCAATTACCCCCTCGAATCTATTAATGTTCTGCGAAATGGTTACAAAACACGATTACATCAGCACATCATTATGGGTGATTAAATCGTCCACGGAAATAAACAACGGTCAATGTCCAGTTAGATACAAGACTCTATTCGGAAATTCATCTATCGACGGCGCCTCTGATTATCTTCTATTATATTTACCCGTTCCATCATTCTAAGGATCAAAGACTGGCGCTTCTCTTCATCTTTTACCCTCGCGTTCAATTTTAATTTTTTAATTTTTAATTTTTAATCATGTGAGACGAAGAAAAGTTCCAGAAACTGGAGGAACTTTTTATATTTAATTTGTGATGCCGGTCATCAAAAAATATATTCTATCTATTATTTTTGGCAATTTCGAAAGTCTACAAAGTTTCGTGCAATCGTTCATGATTCTTTCTCGTGAATCATCGTCACGTAGCGTCAAGGTCTGGAAAGAAATTATTTTAATTTGCGTATTAATTAATGAGAACAGTAAGACGTGACGAAAAGAACGTCTCGCAGAAACGGGGAAATTACCACGGTCAATGTCCATCGTTCGCCCGGTTCACGTGTCTACTGATACAACATCACGCAACTCGGAGGAACGATTACAAGAGACACGAAACCATGAAAAGATGAGAAACCATGCGTGTACTATTAGTCGTGGCGCGAATTGATTAGTCATTCTTGTTTTCTTCTTTCAGTAGAATCTTATAGAACTAAAAAAGAGCTGTTAATGATATAATTATTGTATTAAATAGGGAGCGTATCTTGGTTCGTGCGAGACACGTTGTAAAAACTCTTTTCTCTCGATAACGAGTGGCTACAAATTAGCGTTTCTTACGCTTCAGCTTTTTTTCTTTTCTTTGTGATTCTTCTTCAATTTATCTATAATAGTTTGATAGGATGTATCTGGTGGAAGGGGATATAATACGGTAATTGCGTTAACACCTTCCATTCTCAGGAATCGAATTGAATTTCATATGTTACGTAAAAGTTACACGAATACATAGAGGGTTAAGCAGTATCGATCGGTTACAAGAGCGACATATGTGTCGCTGATTGCGTGCTTCAGTTACGCACGTTTCGCTTCCTTTTTATGGCACACGATGCAGGAAACGAAAAACTTATTTCCTGATACTGTTACCAAAGAATTTTACCTCTATGTATCGTCTATAACCGACCCAGTTAGGCGATCCGGAGGTCAGGAAAGTTGGTCGATCGGTTAGCCGACACGTGGGGTGCTTTTCTATCCACGTGACAGAATCAACCCTAACCGCGAAGCCCGTCCAAATGACTATGTTCGAACACGTATTATCCCCTTCGAATATGCGTCATGTCTCTGTGAAACTGGCCACTGGTCAATCTACTTACCAGCCCCCCAAGTCCTACCGGAAACACGACTTTTAATCAGCCCACGTGGGTGAAAATCAATGAAACTTATGGGAAAAAGGCAACGCGAAAACGCGTATTCAGTAAAAGAAAAAGAAGAAAAGTTTGCAAAATCATCGTTGGCGTAGATTGTTGTTGGATCAAGATGAATAATTGGTGCGTGCATGATTGGCTCGGTAATCGCAGCTAAGTTTAATGATAGACAACTGTTGGTGAGAGAGATCATTATCCGAGAAATGATGGAAACACGAGAGTACCGGTGTCGGGTTCGTTTACTCGATTCTACGTGGTAAGCCGGTTTCGCACCGGGGTGCAAGTTAATGGAAGGAGTCAATCAATCCTGACCCTAACGAAACTAGTTAACTAGTAGTGGCAATTATCTAATTTCTCCGAGGCGAGTTTGTTCGAGCCTGGAGATCTCTTGGAACGATCGAAGATTCTATTGATTAAGTGCGGTTACAAAATCAATTTCATTTTCAAATTGTTCATTACTATACTATTATAACTACTATTAGTAAACTTTAATTAGAAAAAGCTATAATTAAAATAAAAATATTACTAAATATTCCTTCGAAGTAAATGATAACTGGAAGTTTTATGAATGAATCAGCTGTGTCATCTGCAACAATCTACTATAAAACTTGTTAAAAGAAAAACAAAAACACTCGTAAACAGCCCTCCCAATCAACATGGTACTTTAGAGCGAGCAGAGTCCCATTGTAATCGTGATTATTTTCCCCGCGACAACTCACCCGTGACATCTCGAAGGATTTATCGTAAGAAAAACGACAAGAATTATCGATGATTTGTGGAGAATGGAGTACGATGATGGATGATGGGTCGGCGGCGATGCAGTTTCTTCAGGGCCTGGGGACAGACAACGAGGGTTCGACCGCGTTCGAACCGGACTAACTCGGCGTCTAGCTTTCACTGAAGGCGCCGGCGTCGTCGTACCCCTACGGCGTCGGCGTCTCGACCGTTCCTCGCGATCGCGTGTCCACGCGAACTCCATGGGCCTGGCCACGATCCATGGATCCCTAAAGGGGGTTGTTCGCTTCGGATCGGATACCACCGTTATTTTCACTGAAGCCTCGTAAACTCCGTTTCGTTGATTATAACGACGCCCGTTAACATCGTACGCGATGTAATTTACGAGAGGCGAGCTTTTACGCTAACGAGGAATTGTCGCGTTGAATTTGCGAATATAAAAAGTTGAACGATATTCTTAATAAAAGAAAGGATGGTATGATATTTCAACCAAACTTCCGGTTCTTTACTTCCAATTATTTAAGTAGAAAGTTTGCATGGCCCGTAGGAGGATTGTTTCGTGCACGAAGGAAGGAAAATATTTCTTCCGATTCATTATTCTTCCGGGGGAGGGAGGTCATCTGCGGCCTGGTACCCCTGGCGTAATGGTTTCCCGATCTCTCGGTACTTTTACAGAAAACTTTTAACCATCCGAATCATTCGAGTCACGGAATGCATGAATCGTGACACAATTCGTCGATTTACGATCAAAGGTTTAATAGAAATATTAGGAACACTCGTGACGTTTTATCGGTATTACTACTCACGGTAGTCATAACATATTACCGCAATAACAAGTGACGCACGGTAGAGTTAATAAACACTAACAAATTGATTAGTAGACGGAATAAATTGGATTTTCTGTGTAATCGATACGCACGATGAAATAATGAAGATTCTCCTGGAAACATCTATTGTTAACACAAAGCTTCCTGTTTTCACGGGAAATTTCTAGTCATCGTGAATTTCAAGTTACGTATCAATTTAAGAGGGAGAAACGTTATCAGAGGGGACTTTGTACCATCAATTTTACCTTGACTTACAATACATCATTGACCGGATGATCTGAAGCGCGAATAACATGCAGAAAATTTAATTGCCTCTTCCAAATAATTTCAAAAGTGCAATTTCATTTTTTTTCTTCTTTTTTAAAGAATGCGAGACAATAATTTCAAGATAAATTTTCAAAATGTTATATGTAAATCATAAATAATGATAATTACAAAGATGCGTGTAAATTAAAGATCATATTTTCAAATGTGGTTTCCCATAAACGTAGACTCGGTAATGAAGTCCTCTGGAGTATTTCGACCTGAACTTAATTTTGATAAAATTGTATCCTATACCGCCGGAAGTAACCCACATGGCTCCGTTGTTCTCGTCTGATAACGAATCGACTCCTATGCACGTGATCGTTGCACTCGTGGGCCCGTACTCTGCCTCGACTTCCTGTAACAAAATCAAAATCTAATCAGTGTTAATATTTTCTGGTTCATTCATCCCGTTCAGTTATCATTTGCGATACTTAAATAGCGACAGTAGTTTTACTATTAATAGTAACAGTATTAGTATTAATAAATTGTTGGAGCGCGATTCGTGGTGACTTTAAGTTTAAATCAAATTAAGTGTAAAATCTCTCAACCTTTTTAACTTGCAACAAGCATCGAAGCGATTCGAAAGTCTACACAGTCATTAAATTACTCGAACATTTGCGAGATATCATTGAATGCCAGTCATTATTCACACTTTTCGCGTTCGCTTAAATCGTTTCGACTTCGAACTCGTCTCAGGGAAGATAACAGGAAGGCGAAATAACAAAACGCCACGGAAGAAGAACCGGATCTGAGACGGCGATAACATTGAAACATGCTAAATATAATGCAATTTGACATAATTTCTTCGGGGAGAGTGAACTTAGGAATTTTAGATAACGTGGACCGAATTAATCAAACGGTGGACGGTGAGTTTCGAAAAATCCAAAGCGATTCGATTAAACGTTCATTTTTCTACCATCGCGTTATCGATGTATTAAAGAATTTTTGAGACGTTTAAAAAATGATTGCTAGTTTGAAGAAGTAGAAAAACCTTTAGCAACGAGAAACGCGATAGATAACGTTCGAGATGTCTTGTTTGTTTTACATATCGAGCGATTAAAAGGTGATGTTTAATAAACATCAACTGACACGAGAGAGTACTTGATTACTCCATCTTTCTTATAAAAATAACCTCGATGATGATAGTAAAAAAACGCTCGTAGAACGATTTCGATGAATGTTATATACTATTTTCAACGAATGTAAAAAAAATCATAATCTTCGAAAGCACGCTGTTCTCATTCGAGGACGTTCAATTAGCGATTACTTTCATTACAGCGATTTCTCGTTTCCACTCTAAAGTTCATGATATACAATCAACCATAATTATGTTATCCATGCTGGAAATTTTCATTCAGGGCTGTCGAGAGATTCGTTAGGCCCCTGACAAATTCATCGTTTGGGGGTTCCAAGAGAAATACAAATATTCATTAAATTTGTAACAATTTATTTTAATTTTTACAATGCAATTATTTTCAAGGATTTTTTTAATCGAGAGGGATGGCCCGATACTTTTGACCAATAATGTACGTACATGACATATACTGTAGACCGTTTCCCTTTATCTCTGTGACTAGATTAGAGGACGTTAACACCTCGTGTGCTCTTCACGAATAGTACAGTACACAATACTATATACTGCTAACACTTTTAATTTATTCAACTTACTATCAGAATATATCAGAATATAAGAATAATGGAATATTTCTTAGTTGACATTGAAAGTATGTTATATTATTTCTCTACTTTTCATTCCTAATCGTATCTCTTGGATTGACCTATGCATATGATTAGTGATTAATGAGTGGAATTGTATCTTGCACGCACTTGATATGCACCGATCCTATACGATCTCCTCACATCGTACTCCCAGATAACTTGATCGTCCGTTCGTCTCTGGCAATATTCGTTCTTGTATGCAGTCGCGAACAGAACGTTCAACGCGAGAAACAACAGGAACAGGCCCATCCTTTTGTCGAATGCCTTTCGTTTAACGCACGAAGGCCGGGTTTTTTCAAGATCACCGAATATAATATTGAGATGAAGGAAAGAAAAAGAAGAGCGCACAACACAGACACAGAATCGTATCGTTGATTGGTCGAATTGGCGAACAGGAAAAGCCGATCAAATGGAAAACACCGTTTATTTATCGAACAGACACGATGCTGCGTGTTACAGCTAACAACTGGGCAGTATTAATAGTCGACCATCATCGATACACCGAAAGTTCCCCCCAGTTCTGCTGTAATATTTACTCTCGTTGCACTCTGACGGACGTTTCTTCTTAGTCGAGATTAGATACAACGCCTGGTATCTTGTTTCTGTTATTTCGACCGACAGGCTATCAAACTTTCTTCTCGCGATTCGAGTAACTTTCGTGATTTCCAGGTGATAGAGATTCCAGTTTCGAATCTTTTCTACTTTCGTTATTAATTTGTGGATGACAAAGAATGGGTGTATCGATTTGCTTAAAATTTGCTAAAATATTCTTAGCAATTTCGAAGATCGATAGGGGTTCGATGTGTCGTGAGATCTGATCACCCGATGTTTCTACGATTCAGTAGAAGCGCTGGAAGATTAGGCAAACCGGCGAGGCTGCGCGCTGCAAGTAGTATAAACTTGCAATGATCGGGCATAAGTAGATAGTGCACCCTGGCGCTGCTCTACGGAATCGGTCGAAGATTTTTCAACAATCTATAGAATTTAGAATAAACATCGATTTATAGTAAAAATACACTACTATATATCTCAGTTTCATCTAAATCAAAAGACTAAAATACGATTTTTGAAGAATTTTTCCTAAAAGATATGATTCCATAGAAATAATTAACTATTTCCAGCGCAATGATCCCAACAGTGCGTTAAACGTTTTCACCGCAAACAAATTGGCAGTAAAAGCAGACCATTGGTATGCCAGTCAGGTGAATCCGTTCTCACAGTAATCGTACCTGGAACCACGTGGCACGAGTTGCCCAAGAAAATGACTTTCCATCTTGTTACTGGCAAACAAACCGAGTTAAGAGCTTTTAACTAATAGCTCAAAACCACAATGAAACATTTTAACAACGTTCCATGGGAAATAGTACCAATCTTTGGTGAACCTTTCGATGTAAAACGAACGATTCTTTCGATTTCTTTTCGTTTTTTCTTCGACAACTTAATCTACTTACGTGCAGTGTTATACTTCGTAAATTAAAATTGAAAGTAAACGGTAAACAAAAATTAATCGCAAGCACGAATTCCGAGAAATCGAAGGCGCTTGATGAATTTTTCAAGAGATAGGTTCGAAAAACGCAACGAAGTGTATAATTGATAAATTGATAACGCTGTTATAAAACGAAAGAAAACGAATCGTGATTATCTAACGGGGTCTCTGATTCGATAACAAGGGTCGGCAAACACGAAAACTCGACGATCCATGATGAAAATAAGCCATTACCAAGCTTTTTTTAATTTAGTACTCTTTTTAATCGATTCTTGGCGAAGAAACAATTTCTGTTGCGTGTCTCCCACGGATGAAATGTAAAAAAATATATATATATATAGTAAGCTACGTATTGATTTATTTCAGCAGCCGTCGTCAAGGAACTGCATTTCAATATTATCGCATGATAAGATTGCGTTACACACTTGTTTCACGTGTCTTTGAATTTCCACTTTTTCCATCATCGTTTCTCGCGAAAGGAGCCTATATTTCACCTGTCATTCTATCGTATCGATAACTCTGGTAAAATGAAACGAAACGGCGAAAGATTACAGGCTGATTTCGATCAGATGACTAAACGCTGACGAAAGAGGAGATCGGTGAGCAATTAGCAACAATCTCATATATTCGTTGAGTTAGCAGCTGACGAGGAGAACGAAGGAAGGGGGTAAATAAAAATAAAATAAAAAAAATAAAAAAGAAGCGTGAGAGGAAAGGAGAAAAGCAGATGCGCGATAATACCGACAGCATCTCTCGAACTGGCGACCCCAGCCTCTCAAAGTCCGTTCAAGCTGTGCTGCCCCCGGGTCATCCTCTCATCTCTGTAACATTATTTACACTTCCACCCGTACAATCGAGCGAACCGATTAAATACACACGTTTCTGTGTCTATTTCAGAAGTTGTTTGTTGCTAATGTTACATCAGATACGGGATTTTCTGCATTGATTCGATAAAGGGGTTGGCTCGAGATGATCTCTGAACAAGTCGACTGTTGCGTCGATCGCCGCGACCTACATCACAAATATTGCATAACCGAATGATTAATATTAAATTAGTAATAATTGTAAACGATTTAGAATGGGATGGTTAAAGCAGGGTACATACACGGTCAAGTAAAAAATAAAATAAACGATTATATTAAAAAAAATTTCATTCCGAATAGGTTTTATTAATGATTTACGCTATCATTATAATATCCTCACGAGTATTTACACGAATGTTATCATCTGTCCGGCGTCTTATAAAAATATCAAATACTATAAATACAGAAATCCTGCGAACGCCTCGTTATTGCACACACGAATCAGCTGAAATGTTTCCATTAATTTTTAAATCTATCCGCACTCAAGCTTATCAATGTACTGTCATAATAATTATAGCTTACTTAACGTTATTTACAACTTAGCCGCTAGGAAACTCATAACGAATTGCATCGAATTAAATATAAAATATTATTATAAAGTATAAAATCGTTTCATCTTATACGTGTATACGTATACTGGTACACGTTTGTTAGCTTATCTATCGTAGCCGGGGGTTCAAAGTCGAATCGTCGACGCGAAAGTAAAGAAAAATAGTAAAAGTAGAAAATTCGACGAGAAATAAATGCCTGTTACATAGTATTACACATTAGGTACGATTAAACGTTACTATTTACACGCGACGAGACGCGATACAATTTTCACGCTCAGCGATGCTTTAGAAAATTTCAACTTAACGCTCTCTCGTTCTCGCACATCACTATAGCAGTCTACAAAGATAGGAACCTAGGTTAATCGGGGCGCGCAAAATCGTCGTTCATCCAACAACGATTAGCACGTGATTCAAACGTGTCTTGTCTTTTCATTACAGTTTTTTTTCTTTTTTTTTTTTTCTTTTTCTTCGCTTTGCATCCGCTTCAGTCGCGATTTCAGAATCTACTTATCGTCGATAGAGGCGAACTTGACCTCATCAAGTCCTCACGTTTTCCCCACTCGAATCTTACAGTTTCTCGTTCCATTCTCTCCTTCGTTTCTTCCTCGTCTACCCAATACTGGCTGTTCACGTGAAATCGTTCGAATCCCTTCGAACCTCGCGTCTCGAACTGTATGTACAATCCTAGCCTCTGATCATCGTTTAGAGATGTATCCTTCTCGATGTTCGATCTAGTTTTGAAACTAGTGCACTACACCCAGTGGTGGATTGTGCTGCACAGGTTGCGCCCTGATCATACCGGCTAGCCGCCTGAACGGTAGCTGGAGGTGATAGTAAGCGCAGTAGGGCAACGGGTCCCAATAAGTGAACAGAGCTTCCCGTTTGTCGAGTACGGTGCCCAACAAATGGGGCACCGTTTCTCCCGTGGGTCGTTTCAATGCACAGGCGACCGCATCGGGAAGCGAGTTTCTTTCCGCGGTGAAAAATACGCCGGAATTCTGTCTGGAGAAATGCCTGCACGGTCGCCAGACTAGTCGTGGGTGTATGCCGGTGTGGCAGATGTAAGGTAGACTGACGCCAACGCGACAGCCTATAGGTACTAGTTCTCCGTCCTCCGCTATAGCCAGCCGGAAACTCAGGTGACCGTTGATCTTTGAGCCAAAGGAACGGGCAAAGAATCGTTCGAGCCACTGCACCACTTCCGGTCGCTCCTCGGGGATCAGGCCTCGATCCTCGTCCACCAGACAGGTCACGTTCGCCACCACCCTTGATTCCTTAACGGTGGTGCAGGTGATGTAGTGTTTACCGTTCGGATCTCGAACCACCACCCAGGGTTTGTTCTCGGTGATCTCGTGTTGCTGGTTACGGAACTCCCTCGCGGTCGGTGGCAGTACCACCTTACCTCGGTCGCTCATTCCCGCTGGACCAGCGGACAACATTAAGTATCTACCGGTGGTGAACGCGTTCTGCTCGTACAATCTTGCCACGTCCTGCATCGAGCGCAGGACGTAATGATAAGGGGTAGGTAGAGCCAAGGCGCGACATCTCCGTAGAAGTTCCAGGGGATCGTCCAAGGCTGTCACTTCACTGGCACTTGGCACGAAACACTCACAGCCCATCACCTCCAGATAGGGTTTCGCTAGGGCGTCGTAGTAGGCTGTATTGCTGGCGCTCACCGGGATGTAGTATACCGCCTTCTCCTTCTGCACGATGTCCTTTAACGCTTTTATGTACTTGATCGCGTTACCCGGGCCGGGTTTCGGTATCGTGTAGAACTTGGAGCAAGCGGTCGAGAATTTCGCTAGACCGAACAGACCGTCCAGTTCGCAGACCACCACCCTGGCCCCGGCTTTGTAGAAATTACGGGCCAGGTGGACCGCTTGCACGGTACTACCACCGCTGATCAGTACGCACCGTTTGTTTCGGATTCTTTCCGACGCCGGTGTGTAGAGTATGGTTAGGAACCACTTGAGCGCAGCTACGGGAAATTGGAAAAGTACCCAGAGCATGTAGATCCAGATGGACGCCCATAGCACCGGTGCCCAAAACGCATAGCTTATACCGGTGATGATACCTTGGAGTAGTCCAAACGCCACACCGACGTATGCGATCAGTACCTTGAACAGGAACGAATCGTTTCGGTTGTGATTCTGTCCTTGTGTCGATTGTGCCTCGTAGTTTAATTGTATCCTCTGCTGCTGTTGCTGTTGCTGACGTCTCGGTGAAAAGATCACGGTAGGGGCGATCGAGTTGTTCGACGAGTAAGAGACGTTCGATGCGTTTGAAGAATTGGAAATATTCGATATCGATCGCTTCAAAGTTGATATCGGCGATACGAAGGGTGGCGACGTAGACAGAGGTGAACTGGGCATGGGTGGTGACACGCTGTTGCTTCTGGAGATCGATGGACTCGAGGACCAGAACCTCGAGACGTTTTCACTGGTGCAGGCTGGCATTTTCGAATTTTCTTCTTTCCTTTTTCTTTTTTCCCAACAATTTGTCGAAAGGGTCGTCGATGAATCGCGATCAAACCGAGCCTGTCTGGTGAATAGATCTTCTCTCGAACCACGGATTCATAGCTCGATCTTAAAACGAACGTTTCGGACGAAATTTTTGAACAAGAAGATTTCAGATAGACTAGCCGCTCCGATGAAGACAGACTTTCCACAGAGTCTGGTTGTAAAATAAGACGAGGGCACACGTGTATACTCCACTCGCTGAAGACACGCTGCTACAGCAGCTAGAAAGGAAACCTTTTGCTCGCGATTTACCAACGAATTTGCCGGTATGCACACGCAGCTTTAACTGAGGCCGGTCCTCCGGTCTCTTGGTCTCTTATGCGTTCTGCATCTCGGACGCACTATGAACCGGCCTCTTATCTAATCGTGCAGCCTCAGACACCGTGATTGAAAGAAAGAAGGAATCGGGTCCTCGTTGTGATCAACGTCTCGTCGTATTTTTTCTTCTCTCTTTTTTTCTTTTATTCTGCTAGAAAACTCGTCGGATTAATTAAGTAAATAGAATCACGCATTGTCGAATGTCGTGACACAGAGAATTCTCGAACGTAATTTTGAATGAGGAACATTAAATGCAGATGCATCATACGTGTGTCTAATAATTATTTTTTTTTTTTTTTTGCTATTTTACGAGAAACCTTAATTGACCGGTGTTTCTGATTTTATGAATTTATTCAAATTGAAGACATCATACTTTTTTACGATATTTTTATTATTATTATTATTTTGTATTTTGTTTTCTATATTTATATTAGTTACTGTCGTATTATAGATATATAGAATCTTGTTTACCGGATAATGTCATAAGGTAAAGGTCTGATTTGAATCTTTTTTTTTGTTGTTTCACATTTCATAAATTATACGAAACAAATCTATAATAACAAAGGTAAGATAGGTAGCGCTCCACTACGTCCATGATCGAAATTCAAACTTAAAGCAACTGTCAACCGCCATCAAAGTATCGTGTCAGGCAGAGTTTATACGCCGCATAAAATGTCCAAAACTAGAACGTACGTAAGATATTCAGCTCAACAATTCTTTAATGAATATTCAAAATATAAATTCTCTCCAGATATCATCTATTTTGTGTATTCCATTTTCATTCATGATTACATTTTACATTTCTAAATGTGATTTCAGTATGAGAGTATGAATATATTTTTTGCTCTATCATGTAGGGGTTAAATTCAAGTTTGAACCTATAAAATTTAATATTTCTTTTGTCTCTACCTTAAACAAAATTTAAATAGGAACTTACAATTAATAGGATTATCTATTTCTTTCAGGCAAAAGAAAAATGCAGGAACACAAACAAGTGATACGAATAATATGTTAGAAATAGCTTCCTTGCAGGAACAAGTCAAGCTACTGACGATTGAAAATGAGCATTTGAGGAAATATATTATTGAGGAACCACGAAATAGTTTGAAACCTACAACACCTACAACTCCAACTGATGGAGTTGATCAAACTCCAAAACATCCAAGATCATTACGAAAGAAGTTAGATACTCCAACTACAAATGAGAAGAATAAAATACCAATGCGAGGTTGTACCTGTAAAGGTACATGTATCTCTAAAATATGTGGGTGCGTAAAAAAGCACATTTTATGTGGACAATTATGTAAATGTAATAATGATGCCTGTAAAAATCAGGTAAGTAGTTCCTCTGTTTTAATACTTAAATCGGTACACAAATTATATAATATGTAAATTGGAAATCAACTTAATAGGTACAAAAAAATATGGAACAAAACAAAGAAAATTTGGAAATGCAAGAGTATGCAACAGTATCCAAGAGTATATTTAGTCCAGATGTTATAAAAGATGATATAAATCTTAATGTGGAACAATTAAGAACTTCATCTTTATATTTTGGGAGTCCTAAACAGTTAACTTTTGCATCAGATAAAGAAGAAGAAAAAGAAAAGAAGGAAGCAAAAATAGTAATCAGTAAAAGTAGTAAAAATAGTAAGGAATCAAAAGAACATGATAAAAAAGACCAGAAAAATATACTTGCAACAAGAAGCAAATCCAAAAAAATCAGCCCTAAATCACATAGTACCAAACAAGTGGAAAACATCGAAAATACTTCTAGTAAAAAAGAGGAAAGACAGAATAGTAAGAAAACGGAAAAACAAGTAATGGAGAGATATAATGAAACAGATACTAAAATAAATAAGAAAATTAAAGAAATAGATAAACGAACAAATAATTATATGAAGAACATAGCCAATGGTATGGTATCATTAAGGCATGCTCAGAAAGGATCAAAGCAAGTCTCGGTCAATAAACCAAAAGGAAACAATATTATTAGCGATTCAGATTCAAACGGTGAGAAATTAAATTAAAGATTTAAAATTTAAATAATCGTACTAATAATCATTCAATTTAAAAAAATTATAGATGATAATTCTATTTCCGAGAAAGAAGTCCCACAAGGTGGAATTAATAACAGTTCTAAATCGTTTCAACAAAAAGGAACTTTAGATGTAAATCCGACCCCTATTAGAAACGAGGTTCTAAATTCATTTAAATCAAATTTCGAATAATTTACTTGAATATGTACTGACAAGTTTTGTTATTTTTTACATTTAGAACATTAATGATGATGTTAATCCGATGAAACCTAAACATGAATTATCTAGAACACCCATTCACGGATCATCAGTGTCTCGTGATAATTCTGATATATCAATGTCGTTGTGTGGTACCGTAATAGATGAAAATCGCCAGCTTCCTGAAGGTAAATCACAGTGTGTTCATAATCTTTAATAGTTTAATTTGTTAAGAAAATAATCGATGTGAGTTTTGTTACACCAGAATTCAGCCAACCTCAAGTAGATTGGGAGGAATATCAGTCCCAGCTCGTACCGTGTGCAAAGTGCAAAAGAAAATTCCATCCACTTAGAATTAAAAAGCACGAATTCTGTTGTAAAGGTCGGAGTCACTAATATCGAGTGTTTCGATCGTTTTCAATATCATTGATGATGAATAACAATTTTTACTAAATTGATGGCTAATTAGACGGGATTAATAATAAAATAAATTAGTTACAACTTTGGCCCATTCAATATAATTATATCATCAGAATCTACTATACAATATTTCTCAAATACTAGCTAACAGTACAATAGAACTACCTACATACAGTATATACGTATATAATGATTGGTATTTATACATGTATGTAATTCTTATGTGCGAATCGAAAAGATAACGCACATGTACACAGAACCACACACGTTCAAAACGCATACGTACCCGTATTCAACACTGATTATTAGAATATTTCGTGTATTGTTTTCTAAGTCTTACTTATTATACATCTCTATATAACTAACATTCTTTAATATTTTTTTTTACACTTCTATGTATGTACAATTTGGGGACAAATTATATAAATGTATACATATTTTACGGATCTATTGGAGTTACACATATACTGATATTGTGATGTCGCAAAATTAAAAACTGCTGATTTTTTCTTCTAATGCTTAAGAAAATATAATCTGGTGTATCGTAACGAAATGATGTCTTCTGACAGTCTCTTGGGAAGTTACATAATTATTATAATTAGTTATCCATTGAAGTAGCATGTTCTTCCATAAAATGCTGATGGTATCGAAAAAAACCGAGCACAGTTGCAGCCGTAAAAAATAAAATTATTGTACATACACACATGAGAAAAATGACAGTAGTGCCAAGAATGAAGTTAGTTTTGTTTTTATATAGTATGAATCATAGTATATAAACACACATTATATAAATGTAGTCCATCTTTTTCTTTAGATCTTGTATACCGTGATAACGACACAATTTAATATACATTTTAAAATAAACTATCGCTTAAATATTTTGTAATAAAATACACAATGCATTGTATGTAAAGATCTATTTTATAATACATGTGGTATACAGACACCAACGCATCGTAATACGATTACAAATAATACTGCTTGAAATTATAAAATAAAATTGTTCAGAATCAATGAAAACAAAAAATATCCAATATGAACACGACTAGAAATCATACTTATTACTCTATACAATAAAATGATCACTTTCTTCTATTTATACGTAATTATCTGCCGTGTAACTTCTTCTTAACAAAATAATATATTCTTTTACAGTTAGATTCATCCTAAAGTTTTTGAAAACATGTTTGCATATCACTTTGTCTTGGAAAAATAAGTAACAATGAAAAATACTTTTCGAAAGTAGCATCTACAGTGTTGATTAGAATTAATTGCAAGCCTTTCCAATTCCATTGAAGAAATAAGTATAAGTTTTGTTTCGTGTATATATAAGTAGGAGTACAAAAGTAAAGATAAATGGCAATGTTTTATTAGAACTGGCATTTAATAATGACACACAGATATTATTTGCATAAGATACGTGATAACTCTTTTTATGTGATTGCATAATTAAGAGTTTCAAGTGTTAAAGCTCATGCACATTGTTTCCAGCATCTATTTCTGACCCTCGTACCAAATGCATCCTTTTTCAAAGAATGCTCATTAACATTGTGCTTGTATTATATTTGACTAGTCATGATAGTACTCTATCGTATCATGTTGAAACAATATTTGACATATTTAAGTTGTGTCCTCCTTCATTCTCAATATTTAATCGTCGCGCTATCTCTTATTCTTGTTCCTTATAAAATTTGTGCCTTTAGAAAAATGGAAGTGTATCGTCGATAGAATACAAATGGTAGAATTCGTTATTCATACAAGAAGACAACACTTTTCTTTTTTAAATATTGCGGTTGTCTTATTTATACAAATTCTTGTATACCCCGCCTGTTCATGGATTCTTTTGCTAGCCTTTAGATAAACTTAATTTTTTTTCTCCGGAAATATGTTGTTTTCACAATTCTATACCATTTCAAAATTCTATAAAACGCTTATCCAAGAACACGTTTTTAATTTACCTCGGTTGTGTTACTATCAATTTTACAGATACGATCACGATATATAATTTGTGAACAAACGAGCGTATTCCACATTTATGACATTGCTTATAACATTACTGCTGGTTTTAGAGTCTATGGTTTCATTTAACCATCTTACAGTTAATAACACTTTTACATAATTATGGTATTGTCTATTATAAAGTTATGAGTTATTATATATATTTATATATATATGTATATACCTGTAGAGGCAGCGGTCACAAAGGGTGCATTGCAATTGCATATCTCTTTTTTTCTTTTTCTTTAGATCATAACACATATATTCTTGGATTTCAAGACTATAAATATTTCAATTCTATGCAATGGAAAAATAAAAGACCTG